GGTCACAAAGAATATTTCCAACAGCCTGTTGCAGACCTTTATCAACAACTGTCTTCGCTCTATACTGAAGATCAGATGGCCGGAAAGAATCACCAACAAGAAACTATGGGAACAAACAAAACAAGAACCAATCGCCCAACAAATATGCAGGAGAAAGTGGAGATGGATTGGACACTCGCTGAGGAGGCCGTTGGGTGACATCGCGCGTCAGGCCAGTGCTCGAGTGGAACCCGAAAGGGAGTCGACGAGTGGGACGTCCAAGGGTGACATGGAGGAGATCATGTGAAGGGGAGTTGAAACAGTATGGATTAACATGGATGCAAGTGAAAAGTACAGCACAAGACAGAAGCAAGTGGAGGCGTGCAGTTGAAGCCCTATGTTCCACTAGGAACCCAAGGGAACAATAATAATAATAATAAAAACAAACATGTTTATCAATTTATCAGGTAATATATAAGTAACTTTATTTATCTTTTCTTCTTCCTGGATAAATATATATTAAATAAAGGTCAAAGGATTGAAAAGTTGGCGAAACAACAACTCAATGGAAAAAAAATGATTTCGACAGATTGCTATCGACAACGACAACAGCACAGTAAATAAATATTTGACTAGTAAACAAAGAAATCTTTGAAAGGGGGAAAGAAAAGGAAACATTTCGTTTAGCATTTCCTATTCGGGATTAAACAATTCATTTCACATACACAAGCAGCTGTAGGTTGGTTGATTAAACTAATAGATGAATCAGCAAGATAGCTCCTGATTAGTTATATATACATACATTAATAATTTAAGTGGATTTTAAAAGAATTAGTGAGGCCATCCTGTTATAACAAAAAGAGATAGAGGAATTGAATGAACACCCACGAACCACTGTTGGGTGAAAAAGACAGTTTGTTTTTCAAGGCTGATAAACTCGGACTAAATATGTAGTGTCAAGATTCTTATACTGAAAATTTTAAGTCGAGAAATATATGCGAAACTAATTTCTGTCCAGCGACACCACACATGATTTGAAGTCAAGAAAGTCTCTCTCTCTCTTCGCGTGTTTTGAACTAGTTCGACTCTCCGAATTGATTTACAAATAGGTAAACTTCTGATGAACTCGGTTGCAAGCGAGCGAAACGCCTGTGTTCACACCACTTTGATCTGACTAGCGAGCACTGCTGGTCGATGTCAGTTGTATCAAAAACTATTCATACTAGCCAGACAGTAGCATATGCTGTGATGTTTGCAGGCTTGTTTCCTTGGTTTCTGTTTATATTAACAAACATATCATATATATATTTTTATCTGAACAATTTCGGTTTCCAAAGGAGACTGTGGTGAGATTTCACCCAAAAGTTGTGTAATTTGCAAATTACAAGTCTGATTCTCTCCACCTTTTTCTCGACATTCTTATAAACACAAAGTTGATGAACAGAATGAAATCCACACAATGAGAAAAGAAGTGAAGCATAGAGATTACGTGTACAGATAAAAAAAGAGCATACTGAAGAGAAGTACTTTTAACTATCCGGTGATTTCAAAAATAAGTCAATTAAGAAATCGAGTTCACTTTCAAACAACACGATACCATACAATCAATTTGTTATGGCTGGTAAATAACTAAAACTTTACTGATTACACAGAAAATTAAAATAACGAAGTCAAGCGATTAGTTCAGTGGAACAGAAATTTACTGAATGTATAAAGGTGCAATAAATAGACAGATTCAATGCACTTTTTCTAATGTTCTAATCTACTGGCCTATGACTGGAGAACACTGACGGTTTGCACTAAATTAGCTCTCAACCTCACATAGATCTATAGATTTGAAATTCAACTGTTACATAGACTAGAAAAACGAGATAGTATACTTAAGAACATAATATCGGCTTACACACATAGCATTATTGAAATTTAAGCATGGACAGAAAAATACGATAAGGAGGACAACTGAATTAATACGAATTAGACAACTTCACAAAGGTTATTGTTCTGGTTTCTGTTGAGGAAAGATTTCAAGGTGAAAGGAGTTGAAGTGTTAAATTTCAGTCCAGTATAAATTCCATAGTGTTTTGAGGACTAGTCACAAAATGTATGCCACCTAACACAACCACATATCATTTCAAGTAACAACCAATGAGCTGGAGCAGAAAAAAAAGGCAGATTGAACAGCTTCCTACTACATCCACCCTTTTTCATGATGAATCAAATCTCTTTCAGGAACAAGAGATAAAGTAGACGTAGAAACACTTGATATAAGTAGTACAATGTATACACAGGAAAATCTCCTACTTCAAAACCTTGTGAAACTTATATGTATTGAAAGGCTTTTGTTTCCTCATTTCTCCACTCTTTATTTTCACATGACTAGGCTTTTTCACTAACATTATTCAGTACCCTACAGAGTTGATAGTAGCCAGCTATTTCGGCCATTTTTTCATCAGACTATCAATAGCCTAGTGAATTCTTAAAACAATCCCTTGAATGCTGCCATACTCAATACTTCTAAATGTTGGACTGTTAATTCCAGCTTCAAATGTCGATAAGATTTGTAAGAACTGCTTCAGACCCTTGACTCCTGTAGTCAAAAAAAATAAATCATATGTGATCCATCTAGTTTCATGCTTTACCTCAAACCTTTCTCAATTCTCCCATGTCCAGTTGATTACGTAGAAAATCTGTTGCTTCACTGTTTGTTTATATAAGGAAGCTATAAGTCTATGAAGTAAGTCACCTTCTAGTTTTACTTTTCAGACAGTTGCTACGTTTCTGCTACTCATCTCCGCTATTTCCTCTTGTCTGTACTACTGCATGTTGAGCAGGCTTTGCTAATTAAGCTAGTAATGAACACGATTATGCAAAGACATCTTAAGTCTTGTAAACAGTTGAATGCAGTTAATTTAGCATCATTTCTTGTTCTATTCGCAGGCGATGTTGGGAAGAAGGTAGTATTCTGAGCTCTGGATTTTCTTAGCAAAGTTTTCTACACCAGTCCTGGGATCACCAATGCCACTTCAAGTTCAGCAGTAGTTCACGGAGGAATAAAACACCAGAACAATTTTATTTACATATACATACGATTTCTTTTTAGTTATCATGGTGGCACAAAAGGCCTTACTACTATAACTGTTGTCTATGCTATTTATACAGATGAATATGAGTGGGTGAGTAGTAAGAGACGGCCAAAGATATATAGAGGAGAAAAAGAGAATTATCGGTTCAATATACGGAAAATAAGCTAGAAGAAAACATACATAAGGTGTAGAAAGTAGATATCATCTGCATGAACCATATTAACTATCGTGTCTACCATTTCACTAATAATCACTGTAACAATTCTATTTACTGACACCAGCATCGTTTTCATACTGCACAAAGGTGACAAGTGAAGAAAAATTCAAAGGATCTATAATGAACAGAAATGTGTGGGAGAGAGAAAGAGTACAGGTTGGAATAATCACAATTTGACAGATCTGAGAGTTTATAAAAAGCAGATGCATCTGAGCCATTGAGAACGACTATGAACCATTTAGCCGATAGTCTCTAATTATCGGTTCTTATCATCCCGAGGACCCCAGTTAGGAAGTCTCCACACCCAAACGTAGCTCCAAACAACAAACATGGACTGATGCCACGTTTTGATTTCCGAAGCGACGATGGCTTGGCGTGCCATAAATGCGACCTAACCATCTCAGTTGAAGTAGCTTCACTACCTAAACTACTGCATTGCGATCCCTATCTAACACTCTACGTCTAATCTCAAAATTACTCAGTAAATTCTCACCACTTAACACGGGAGATGGAACACAAACATCCATGATCAAAGCTAGCCACTTCAGGTCCTCCACTCTCAACGGCCATCTCCAGCAGACGTACTGCTGTGCAGCAAATATACCCTATGATCAACAGTCGGATATCCCGTCTACACCAGAGATGGCGTAAGTTCGGAAGTGCTGAACAACGCTTTTGCATCCATACTGAGATTACGTCAGCAATCAGTCCACCAGGGTTTATGCAACTTCTCGAATAAGTTAAGTGATCGAAACGCTCAATCACTTCTCTTACTCTCTTTAAACTACAAGTCAGTGTAGTCTAGTCCTGTGACATCATCTTACACTTGACAAGGGCGAATTGCATGCAAAGCATCCGAGGATTTCTGCCGAAGGTGTTCAGAAGACTCAGCATTTGTCAGCATCTTCACCTAGAAGGACAATATCATCTATACATTTTAAATAGACGAGACTATGCACTGGTTGGTAACAAGAGAATCAGTAAATCGCTAAGGTCAATTAGAGTTATATGCATTAGTACATCTATGATGAAATAAAAGAAAAACCGAGACACTAGACTTTCCTGACAGACACAAAATAAATACTCACGAAACAGAAAGAGCGAATTCGCACCGAATGCCTTACAAACAAGGATGTACTTACAAAATTTAATGACTCAAAGAGTTTACCCCTATAGTCAATAAACAATGCTGTGAAATATTACATACCATTTATCAGAAGTTAATAAATCATACATGTTTTTGTTGAAATGGACAGTTTGCATCTTTCACTTAAATCAATTAGAACCATTGCAAAACTGGACAGACACATTCAGCCTGTTAACAGAGAAGCTTATCAATAGTGTAGGAAGAAGAATCCAAGTTCGAAAAGCTGGAATCACCTTACCGACATTTGTAATTTTCAACTATGAAACTAAACGAGTTACATAACTGAGACTGTTGATGTCACCAACACTAATCTCATCAAGAGGTGGAATATTTTTAGTTTTTAAATAATCATGTTATTCAGTAGTTTCGTTATACTACAGAAAATATTACATGAGGAACTAAAATTTAGAGTGGCACAAGAAGCATGTGCTCTCTTAACGGAAACCATAAAAAAGAGATTTGCATTGTTACTCACTTTATATGCATATCCTTGATTGACTAAGAAACGTTGACGTTTCAAAGCATACTGCATTTCCATAGTATCTTGAGACACTAGTGAATAGAAGAATGCATTTTAGGCTTCAGCATCCATTCCTCGTTTCGCTCGCAGAATACGACCCAAACGTTGAGCTTCTTGACGACGACTACCACCATGAGCACTGATTTGAATGAGTACTGTTGCTTCGGATAAGTCAAAAGAGTTGTCAGCAACTTTGGATACAAATATTGTTGGCACCTAATAAGTTTGTTTTTGTTGTTGAAAAAAGGAAGAAACAAATTTTGAGATATACGCAAACCGATAAAAAAACACATTCAGAAACAATTTTATTTATTTGGGCAGTATCCCAGTGTATCATTTGGCGCTTACAATCTAACAAGTTTGTATTTTGATAAGAATAACACTTCAGACTGAAAAAATGGAGAGTACACTAACACAACCCAACACACAATATGATACATGAAACCAAGCATATTGTATACACAATATGACCTGAGCAACTGGGTGCAGCAGCAGCAACAACAACAACAACAAAAATAAACGTAACAATAATGACAGCAAGAACAAGAACAGTAACAACAACAACAACAACAATTATACATATTACCGCTGTTTTACTGCACACATACACCTTTATTGACATTTCTATTATTTTAGTTTGGATTAGATAAGCGAAAGGCTAAACAGGAGACAAGTGTTATTGTTTATCTTTTTTTTTCGGTTGACCTAAGATTTCAACATGTATAAACATAAAATAAAGGAATAATCATGCAGACAAGTAGATTACGCGTGAAGAAAATCTCACTTGTATCATTAAAAAAAGATTGGCGAAAAGGAGAAGAATAGGCAGAATATGCAGAGGCAGCAGCAGAACAGTGATGTCGACGACACGATAAACAATAAAACAAGAATTACTCACATTAGGATTATGCTGAAAATACTGTAATATTTGCATACGTTCTGCTTGACCAGTTGGACCGTATAGAAATGGTCGTCCCATTTTTGTAGCATAATATTTCAAAGCGAATACATTATCAGCGAATACAATAATCTTATCGTTTCTTCTTTCGTGATAACGGATAAGATATTCACAGGCACGAAATTTATTCGGATTCATCACAGCCAATAGTAACTTCTTCATACTTTTCATCTTTAAAAAAAATTTAATTCCAGATGAATGAGTAACGTTGTAATGAGCAACCGCATAAACGCAATCAATGATACAATACAGTGAAGAATATATATCAGCTTAATTATTATTGCAAGGCATGTATGCACAATATATTCTCTTGCAGATATATGCACATTAACTACAAAGTGATTTGAAATACAAATTATGGGGAAGAGAATAACTGCATATCTACTTGACATTTAACTTCCCCTAGTTAACTAGCATGCTAGTTTTCTAGCCGGCCCCAAGCCAGAGTAAAGAGGGAGGGTTGGGCGTGGGGGTACAAATCAAACACCACTAAACCTACCAAACTGTTACAGAAACATCAAAGCACAAAAATATATTAAAAATATAAGAAGTTCAAATTACAACAATCTCATTCTTCGCTCAAATTGGAGAGGCGAAATGACACAGCTGGCTGGTGAGAGTCCATTGTCGATCAAAGCTAGAGTAAGAATGGGGACGTGGACGTGGAATGTAAGACACTGAGATGATATGGTATGGAAGTGCTGGGAATCTGCGAGAGCAGATGCAATGGATGGGGACTATGGAATTTGTCAACTGCAGAGTCAGTAATCTACTTCGCTCCGGTCACCCAGACGACAACCACGAGCACACTGAGGCAGCGAGTGCCAGTCACGATGTCACCAGTAGCAGCAAAAGTCATAATGCAATGGGAACCAATCTCCTCATCCAGGATCATGACAGCAAGACTCAACACAAAAGGAAGGAAGGAAGGTCACAATTATCCAATGCTACGCACAGTGCTACAAACAATGCGGAACAAGAAAAAGGCACAAACAGCGAAGAAAATTTTCTTTTCGACGATTCATTTTCATGAGCTGTACAATCGTAATTATAATTAACAAAGAAATCTTTAGACCAATCAGATACTGGTAAATTTTTGTCCTTGGAAAATTGTATTACATAATGTAAGGTGTAAGAAGGGATGACTAAATGTAAGTTAGAAAGGAGACAGAAGTTGGTATGACGTAGTAAGCGTGAGATAATGAATAATCAATAAGCTCGTGTAAAATGGACAGGAACTAGTGGAAAGGCTATAAAGTGTTTTTGTATAGAATATGTATGAAAAGCAATGTTACTAATAAACAGTAATAGAGTAGTAATAAAATGTGGATGATGGGAATAATAATGATAATAAAAGTATTAATAAAATAAAATAATAATAATAATAATAGTGAACTTACATAATGAAGGAAAGAAGCAACAGCTCGATCCTCGAACACCTTGTCATCTCTGGACATCGAGCACCCCCACATGAACGCTTCACAGTGTTACACAGAGTCCCTCAATATCGTACAAAGGGACTTCGGATACACCATCTGTACACAGCTGAAGCATTAGCTATTCGAGATCTGAAACCGAACCTCTGCATCCAAAAGCGATACATACATTCTTTTGCCCTACCATGGCCAGAGTAAATTTCTTACCACAATTTTGCTTCTTTCTTTTATTATGTAAGTTCACTATTATTATTATTATTATTTTATTTTATTAATACTTTTATTATCATTATTATTCCCATCATCCACATTTTATTACTACTCTATTACTGTTTATTAGTAACATTGCTTTTCATACATATTCTATACAAAAACACTTTATAGCCTTTCCACTAGTTCCTGTCCATTTTACACGAGCTTATTGATTATTCATTATCTCACGCTTACTACGTCATACCAACTTCTGTCTCCTTTCTAACTTACATTTAGTCATCCCTTCTTACACCTTACATTATGTAATACAATTTTCCAAGGACAAAAATTTACCAGTATCTGATTGGTCTAAAGATTTCTTTGTTAATTATAATTACGATTGTACAGCTCATGAAAATGAATCGTCGAAAAGAAAATTTTCTTCGCTGTTTGTGCCTTTTTCTTATGACTCAATATGTGAATATTTCGTTCATTGAGGAACAAGAAAAGATGGAGGATTTTTACAGACATCTACAAACAGTAATGGACAAGACACCAGCCACATGCAGGCATCAAAATCCTTATGGGCGATATGAATGCCAGCTGAAATGGAAGCAGACAATACAGAAAGAGAACTCACCATGGGTCGAGAGGCTCTTGCTCGGTGAAATAAGTGATAACGGAGAACTCTTCACAAACCTCTGCGCCTTCAGTCACTTAAAGATCTGAGGCAGCTTGTACAAACACAAGGATAGACACAAGGCAACATGGATTTCGTCTGACGGACACACCACAAACCAGATAGACTTCATCTGAATAATGATGAAGTGGAGACACAGCCAATCTGCTGGACACAAAGTCGAAAAAGTGAGCAGATGTGGGCTCACTCACGCAATCTTCTAGTTCGAGGAACCTTCAAGCCGAAGCTGAGATCCCTCAAAGCAACTGCAGACGGACCACAATTCAAGTTCAACATCCAGAAACTGAAGGGCAAAACTACAAGAGACACTTTCAATGCAGCTTTCAGATCAAAGCGAAGACGGAGACACTACGTGGTATCACCGAGGAAACCTGTGTGGAAGGACACTGGCAATAACTCTCTGAAGATGATATCCACGGAAACGCGTACAACTGTTCTAGGAAGAAGGAAGAGATAAGACAAAGAATGACTCTCAACGGACGACTACCTAGAAGCTAATAGAAGAGAGGAGGATAGGGAAAAAGAAGATGACTCAATGCAAAGATGGACAACGGAAGGAGAAGCTGAGTTCAAGGAACACTGCACTGAATAAAGAAGTGAAGAAGAGTGCAAGAAAAGACAAACGACAATTCTACAACACACTAACTGACAACTGAAGCAGAACAGAGAGGCTAAAGATAAAATAGACCTCAGGACATTATATCAGATGATCAGGTCTCTATTCAGGAAGACATCAACCCAGATGATGAAACCAATAAAAGATGTTCAAGGTGACCTGATTACCAAGAAGGAGAAACAAATAAAACAGTGGGTTGATCACTTTAAGGGACTCTTGAATCGACCATCACCTGCAACTCGCCCAGAGATACCACCAACACCACGCACACGAGTGCCTGCCAGTAGACACCAATCCTCCAACCAAAGCAGAAATCCTGAATGCGACCCATCTACTCAAGGCCAGTCGGAAGGCAGCAGGACCAGACGGAGTTTATTCCCTCCTCCGGAACACTGAAAACGGACCCAGAGACTGCGGTAGATGTCCTCACGCCATTATTCCAAAAGGTTTGGAAAGAAGGATAGGTACCTACCGATAGGAAGAAAGGCTACTTCGTCAAGCTGACAAAGAAGGAAGACATAGGCCTCACTCTACAAGAACTGGAATGGAATAATGAAATAATCATACGTTAATACGTTCAGGTATGATTCTTTCTTCGTTTGAGGGACCATAAATTTGTTTGTATTACTGCTGTATTTATTACTATTTGTTCCTTGTTTTCTGAATGAAAAGTAGGGTATCAGCAACACACCTTCATAGCACTCCGTCCTCTATCATTATTTCTAGCTGTCTACGCGACTTCCAACAAGCTTTTATTTCCACTTCATATGAGCTCTTTCATGTCACCCTCAGCTCAACGCATTGCTTTCTATTCAGCTTCAGTTGACGGTCTTGCATGTGATGTCTCCTCAGCGTATGTTCAATCCACTTTCGTTTCCTTCCGTATAGTTGTTCAGCAATAGATTCTAGGTTGGTTCGCTGCACTGTCCTTGTTGTTTATCCACTCTGATTGGTTGTTTCATCACAAGTATCAATCCAACAAAAGGCAGATATTGATGAAAGTCCTCAACAGCCTGTTGGAAATGCTTTCGGTAACGCACATGTCAAGTCTTTGGACCATATAGAAGCACTAACTAGACAACAGTGTTAAAAAACCCCAGTCTTGTTTCCTGTGCTAAGTGTTGTAGATTTTCCCAATAACTTCTCAGTGATAAATGTCCGTCTTGATTTCTTCTTCTGATCTTGGCTAGCTTTGACATCTATATCCTCCTTGTTGTTGAAATAACTCTGCCTCTTCAGGTATGCGAAAGGAGTTATTTTTCTCAAATTTCTCCCATCGACGGTGATCAGTGTCTGTTGTTGTTGGCTGGGTATCTTCATCACCTCTGTCATCTCTATATGTTCGTCGGAGACGCTATATACCACAATAAACATGGTAATTTCTAAGCCAGGCGCTTGTAATCGACATCACATACCTTCACTGACAACAAACATTTTAGTACTTGTGTCTGTATGTATAAGATATTTTAGTGAATGGTCAAATCGTAACCGAAAATGACATCCTTGCTAGACATTACCAGTTAGACCAGATAGACTTCATTTCAATCTCAAGGAAGTGGAGACGGAGCCTACTGGACACAAGGTCGAGGAGAGGAGCAGATGTGGGTTCAGACCACTATCTAGTACAAGGGACTTTCAAGGTGAAGCTGAAAGCCTCGAGGATACCTGGGGATAGGCCACAATGCAAGTTCAACACGCAAAAACTGAAGGACACAATCACACAGGACATTTCCACTGCAACTGTCAGAGCAAAGCAGGAAACACTACGTGGCACCACTGAGGAATCATCCGTGGAAGACCACTGGAACTCTCTGAAGGTAATTTTCAACGAAACGTGCTCAACGGTTTTAGGAAGAAAGAAGAAACAAGACAAGGAATGGCTCTCAACGGACACTTGGAAGCTAATAGAGGAGAGGAGAAAGGTGAAAGAAAAAATGATTCATTGCAAAGATGGACAAGAGAAAGAGATGCTGACCTCAACTTACACAGCACTGGACAAAGAAGTGAAGAAGAGTGCCAGGAAGGACAAAAGACAATTCTACGACAACCTGGCTACTGAAGCTGAGAAGGCAGCAGGCAAAAGGGACCTGAGGACACTATATCAGATAACCAAGTCTCTATCCGGGAAGAGATCAACACAAGTGAAACCTATAAAAGACAGCCAAGGGAACCCAATTACCAAGGAAGCAAAACAGATTAAACAATGGGCGGACCACTTCAAAGGACT